TAGCTGTCACAATCATCGCTGATCACCAACATATGTTCACCGGTTCTTCGCCCTTCTTTGTGCGGTCAGCTTCTGTGTTCTCGTCAACGATTGGATAAACTATAACATGTGCCGCCCTGTTACAGGCACTGCCCGTTCTTGATATTGATGTACACCCCTCCTTGGGCATGATTCGGACAATCACTCAGAATATGGGTGTTGGTATAAGCGCCATATCTGATCAGGAAAGGGTAGTCGCACAAGATCTGACAGCTTGATAAACCAGAATTGCTGTTCGTGACTACGGGGCATCACCCACGTAAGTGAAACTACGTGACAGAATTCAGAACGCCATCAAGAAGTTGGAAGTACTAGGACAAGCCGACACGACGGCCCGAGGGCTTTCGTGTTCCAGTAATATGTGTATGAAGGCAGTGCGAGAACGTTCGATTGATGTATTGAGGACGATATCGCAGGTAAGTCATAGAAACATGAAAAGCGGGTTCAACGGCTGGTACCACAGTCTTCCTCGGCACAAGGAAGGACAAGCGCTGACTGGCATGAGGCGAACAGCACCCGTGTCATTGGGTGCAGCTCCCGATGCGCGCGTTGCTTACGCGCAGTGGCTAGGTAGAGTAACAATGCAGCAGCAGGAATTGGCGGTAGCCCAGCGGCTGCGACACTGCAGGTGCCCAGGTGGGCAAAGTGGCAGCATCCAGGGGCTACAGCGCTAAAATCAGCGAGGGTTAGCGCACTTGGCAAACCTGGATGCCCAGGTGGATCTTTCCGCTCTGCCTGCGTGCAGCGTGCATCACCCCAACAACCTCAGCGTTCATGCCCCAGAACTGGCACGGCTTCGAGTCCGCTTCAACGATGGCGTGCCTTTTCTCGACAGAGACTTTTGTCTGCACAAGACCATCGCCGACTATTGAGATCACCGTCTACAGCCTAGTCTGAGTTGACTGGCAAGACCTAGCTCATGACCGTTGCACATCAACCACGACACGAATATGTCGCTTCTGTGGCATGGAACGCAACTCCCGACCCCGCGTTGTGCTGGTAGATCGGAAAACGGTGCCCGTTCTTGCGTATGGTACCCCGCGACAGCATCGATTCTAGCGTTCGCTACCCCGCCACGCTATCGGAGAACATGTGGAAGAGAAGTGTGATCGCTGGATGATTTTATGTCGAATCATGTGTATAAAATCTTCAAAAGGCGCTGGCGAGGCTTCTCCGGACGACATGTTAGTTTCCTACGCCGTAAGGGTACTTGACGATCCTTTGGGGCGATGGACACTCAACGGATATATCTACTGTCGGCATCGCAGTGTCCCTTTCTAGTTGATCCACTGTACTCGTATTTTGCAGTTCCCGCATGATGTCTACGCAAGACTCTAGTCTGCACCTCTCCTCATACTTCACAATACCTAATATCCTCCTAGTACTCGTGGCATATACTATCGTGAGATGCGTCTACCAGATCATCTACTATCAATACTTCCACCCGCTACGACACTTCCCGGGTCCCTTCTGGGCCAGCGTAACACGGCTATGGATCGCCTATCACAACATCAAAGCTGATGAATGCGAGATCGAACTCGCTCTACACCGCAAATACGGCCCCGTGCTTCGCGTCACCCCTACCCTACTCTTGGTATCCGATGCTACCAAGCTCCCTGAAGTGTACAATCGCCAATCGAACAAGTCGAATCATTATATCACCGGCAGCTTCGGCAAGACCGAGAGTTTGTTCAATATGCGGGAACACAAGCACCACGCGCACTTTCGCAAGATCGCTGCTGGTCCATATAGTTTCAGCAACGTCAGGAAGATGGAAGGGCTAGTGGACGATCGCATCCAGCAGTGGACTGACAAGCTGGAGGAAGTCTTCGGTGATGGCAGTAGATTTGACTTTGCGCCGTGGGTACGCTTCACACTATCGTTATGCTGGCGATCAGGGGCACTGACACTTGAAACAGGCAGTATATATGGCATATGACATCATATCGGAGATCGGCTTTGGCGCACCCATCGGATTTATCGAGAGCGGCTCCGATATCGACGGCTTGATCAAAGGCTTCCACGATGGTCTACTTCCGTTTGGTCTAATGGCTCGGCTCTGGCCGTTTACACAATGGGCGAAAGGCACATGGTTCGGCGAGAAATATCTTGTCGCGAAGCCTGAGGACCACTCTGGTATTGGCACGCTGATGCGCTTCCGTGACAAGCTCATTGCCAAGCGAATCCAAGATATCGAAGCCGGTAAAGTTGACAGAGTTGATCTGCTACAGACTTTCCTGGATGCACGGACAGAAGATGGCGCACCGCTGGACTTGGACTACATCAGAGCCGAAATTCTCCTCGTATTGCTCGCTGGCGCTGATACGACGGGCACTGCATTCCAAGCGATGATTGCGTACATTACCTCTGATGCTGAAGTATACGCGAAGTTGATGGATGAGTTAGATCGCGTCACGCGTGAGGGCAAGTTGAGCCCCATGCCGCAGTATGACGAAGTGTTGGAGCACTGTCCATACTACGTTGCCTGCGTCAAAGAAAGCATGCGGTAGGTCATACTCATCTTCTTCACTGTCACTCTCATATACTGACGAATACAGTCTTTGTCCCTCCGCTCCGAATATTTTCCCTCGCGTTGTGGGTTCGTCAGGGATGCACCTGCATGGCCGCTACGCGCCGCCCGGTACCGAAATAACCTGCAACCCCTGGCTCGTGCACCGCGATGAGAAGATCTATGGTGCAGATGCCTGCGATTTCCGTCCAGGAAGGTGGCTCGAAAGCGAGGAAAAAGCAAAAGAGTACAACAAGTACAACATGGGCTTTGGATATGGCGCGAGAGTCTGTCTTGGAAAAGACATCGCGCTCATGGAGTTGTACAAGGCCCCGTTGCAGTTCTTCAGAACGTTCAAGATTGAGATCGACGAAAGCCGCAAAGGCAATTTTGTAGTCAAAGGTGGTGTAGGATTCTGGGAGGACATGTGGATCGGTATCAAGCGGCGGAAGACGGCGTCGTGATACAATAGATCGAGATGTCCGTTAAGTGTATGCTAGTCAGTACTCAGCGCTGAAGTCCTCAAATCTAAATGATGGATCGGACAATGGTGTGCGTTGACGCAATGACGAGCTGGTGATCTAGACCATCCCGTACCGACCTCGTCACGTGTTGGTGCGGCGATCTACCGCTAGCGAGATCTTGGCGAAACAACTCGAAACGACCGCAATTACGCTACCCATTCTACGGTCCGCGCCTCAGCAACCCAACCACTCGCAGCTCTCACCTTGCCTTTGTACAGGCGCGGCGGCCCCCGCACTGGGGTGCACTGCAAATGTTTCCGAGATGATCCTCGATTGGCGCCGTCTTCTTGGTCCAGGCCTCAGGCCCCAGCGGAAATGGCTTGTTTCATTGCCCGCCTGGTTATATAGGGGAGCAACTCCAACATGACGACGACCTGCTACCGCTTTCACGATCATTCGCATCGATTACATTCTTTTTACCGTCTTCGCACAGACACACTGACCTGGTTCGCTGGTCGTTCGCTCTTTATTTCGTTCCTCGCTTTGTTTGATCATCTGCTAGCATCATGATGCACTCTACTTTCTTTTTTTCCCTGCTTGCCGGTACGGCCTTTGCTCAGTATGGCGATAACAGCTACAACGCCCCTGCTGGAGGCTCGAAGCCTGCTCCCTCCGTCACAGCACCTGCTGGGTACGGCACGCCCGTCCCGAACCCGATTGCGTCCCTGGTGCCCATAGTACCCATCGTCTCTGTTATTACATCCGCCCTTGGAGCTATACCCTCAGGATTCCTTCCCGACAATGATTTGCCCAACCCTTTCAAGTCCATCTACATCCCGGCATCCCAGCTATTCAACCCTGCTATTGCACCTGCTTTCACGGAAACTGCCGCGGTCCCTCTTCTGTCCCTCTTGCCGGTTTACTCTACCGCATCCAGCTCTTCCGTTGTTGAGCCTACCGGCTCTGCTGAATACCCGGTAGCTCCTCCTACCGTCAAGCCATCCAAGCCTGCAACCTCCACGACTTGCACCGAGAGCAAGGCCCAGAGCACCCGCGTACCCCTTGACGCTACCCGTTCATCGGCTGCCCCTCAGAAGCCTACCGGCGCAAGCTCGGCAGCTACCTCTACCGTTGCGACACCCAAACCCGCAACCTCCACATCTTGCACCAAAAGCAAGGCTCAAAGCACTCGCGTGCCCCTTGACGCTACTGCTTCATCGCCCGTTCCTCAGCGCCCGACCGGTACAGGCTCAGCAGCAGCCTACCCCACCGGAACCGGCATGCGTCCCTCTGGAAACACCCGCCCCTCTGGCACTCCTCGCCCAGACTACTTCCACAACGGCAGCCGTCCCCAAGGCGGCTTCGGCTGGGGCCGCCCAAGGCCTTCTGGCAAGTGGCCTCACGCCTACCCCAAGCCTACCCATGCTGCTCACCGCCCCACCAAGCCTTCTGCTGCTCAGGGCTACGGAGGTGTCAAGGCCAGCAGCACGCCTTGCACTTTGGAGACCAGGGTCAGGCCCAAGGCTACCCCCGCCCCTGCTCACTACTAGAGAGCAAATACAACTTGAAGGTATCGCTTCCTGAATTATAATTTATGTAAACGTAGTTCATGTATATACCTTATTATCCACAGACCTCCGAGTGGGGTAATACAGCACATGCAGTTGATAGTCGATGCGCCTTGCACAGCGGGCTTATATTGCTCAGTGTGTTATTCCAGGTGTCTTGCTCATGCCGATGAACTCGTATTGTTACATGTTTTCATATAATCCCTCAATCAGTCCAGATCCATTGCGATGAGTAAAGACCTTCCTTCCCTACGAGTTTGTACCACAACACCGGACTAGCGGGCTTGGCGAGCAAACGCGTCTCCTCGCACCTTCCCACACACTCACAAATTTCCTCATCTGCTTTCGCCATCAACAGCTGATCGGGATCTAATCCTGGAGCTTCAACAACTCCCCAACTCACTTCGTCCATCCGCGACGATGGCGGAACACACCAAGCTCATCACGATCGATCCTAACGGCGACACCCTCCTCAAGCTCAAGGACATCCACTGGGAGCTACCGGAATGGATCGACGAAGCCACTCGTTTCGCACCGCCCGCCGAGATCACCGAGTCATCACACAAGGATACTGCGATGGAAGGTGCGGACGGGAGCGACCGGCGTAAGCACCCCGAGGAAGTACACTTCTTGGTGTCATCACGTCAGCTCCGTCTTGTATCTACTTACTTCGACGCCATGTTCAAGAGAGACTTTGCCGAGAGCGTCGCCGATTCCACGGATGGGAAATACCATATCTGGGCTACTGAGTGGAACCCTACGGCGCTGGAGCAACTTCTGATTGTCGCGCATGCTCGAAATACAGGCGTAAATGAAAATGTCAGTTTCGACGTAGTGGTCGACATGGCTTTGATAGTTGATTACTACGACATGCACGAGACGCCATACACTCACGCCAAGAGACTCTTTACTCGATGGTGGGGCAACGGCACGTATCGTTCACTCATGCCCGAGAGTGTTCTTCATGGCAAGGTGATTAGGTGGATGTTCTTGTCGAAAGTGTACAAAGATAATCATATCTCTCGGAGAACGATCGAAATAGCAAAGAAACACAGCAAGGGGCCTCTGCAAGATCTGGGATTGCCACTGGGCAACATTCCAGGTGAGATTGCACACCACCCTATCACTCCATTCAAGGGAAAAACCGAACACCTAAGAGCCTACATTAAGATAAAAGCTTGCGAAGTTGGTGGCCTAACAGCAACGTAGGCTCCTAGGTGTTCAGTTTTTCCCTTGTATGAGGTGCTATCGTATACGACCTGGCTAATGTATACTAGAAAAGTTAGAAAAGCACCGACAGCAGGCTATCAAAGCGATCGTCGACCAGCTGGATAGTCTCATCGAACGTCTTCGCAGAGGTGAAGAATGCTGCAGCTTCACATGCCGGTCTTCCGTCCTTGGCTCCTTGATACTGCTCAAGCAATCTGGTGGACTCTCCACAGTCGGAGGGGGCACCATCTCACCGTCTTACCATGGCATGAGTCTCCAGGAAGCCTGTGCCGCCATGGGGGCTATGGTGACCCGGAAACAATCTTCTGTTATGGGAGGCAGGATAATTCTAGATCAGGGATATATGCCCGTAGGAGCATGCAAGGAATGCGACTTCAGCGGTTTGTTCGATCGGATTATGAAGAAGGTCGACGACGATCTGAAGTTCCAACTTGATCTCAGTCCGTCAAGACCCGTCAAATCCTCGGACTGAGGGTTCAGAGAAGATGTCCGTGATGTCAATGGCGAGACAGGGTAGCGATGGATGACCATGTATCAGTGAGCGAAGGAAGGGTAGCTGAGGAAAGAAAGGTGCAAAACTGCTAGAGGCTTTCGACACCGCATGACATACGAATCTAACAATACAATACAGAGTCTCTAACTCCTGCGAAGCGGCTCTGTAAGGTGTAATTTTCGCAAAGCGACTACCTATACCCCTCTAACTTATATATATAGCCCTCTTATAATTTATTATAGCCTATTGCTGCTGCAGGCAGCGTTGTAACATGCCTCTTTTTAGCTGTGCACGTAGAAATCTAGCCTTAGCAGATAGAGCGGGTATACATACTTCCGTGGCTAGCCTATTTACTCTGCGTGGCTTGGCCTATCACCTAGCATAGAAAAATAGTATTACACTGAGTAAAGTGATGTGTATGATGGGCAAGTGCTAACCTGTCATCGCGTGATGCGTATACTGGCGCCGTCTACTATAACTCTTCTTTAAAACTTAACTACATTATAGTCGCCATCCACATGTCCCGGGTGAGCTCGACCGCTTTACTAATCCTTCACTTTATTCCTAGCAGCGCGTTCCGACTAGCGGGCTTGGCAAGCAAACGCGCTGTCTTTCACCACCTACCCATTACGCTCAACTCACACGCTGACTGGACTCTCTCAATCCGCCAGACCAAAATCGTCGCGTCGACCGTACCCAGCGCACGCCTTCGTCACAATGGGCGAAAAACCAAAGCTCGTAACGATCGACCCAAACGGCGACATGCTGATCAAGCTCAAATACCGGAGTACCGCGCAGTCGAAGTGGAGAAACGAGAGCGAATCTGTAGAAGATTGGATCGCCCAGGCAGAGGCCGCCAAAGCGATTATCGAGAACGAAACTGCGCTACCGGAGCCGGAACCTACCGAAGTCCACTACCTCGTGTCATCGCGACAGTTGCGCATCGTTTCACCATACTTCGAAAAAATGTTCAAGCGGAACTACGACGAGACTGTTCCGAATAGCGAGGACGGTCTGTATCACGTACGAGCGCAGCAGTGGAACCCGCATGCCCTTGCTATCATGCTCAATATTGCGCATCTCCAGTTCGCGGCTATACCGAAGACGCTCAGCGTTACGTTGTTTGTTGCGCTGTTTCTGGTTGCAGATTACTACCAAATGGAAGATGCGCTGAGGCTGTTTACGAAAGAGTGGAAAGATCAACTCTATGAGCTTCCGGTGCCCAAACATTACGGCGAAGAGTCAATGCTGTGGATGTTCTTGGGTGTGAAGCTGAAAAGCTGGAATATATTTGAGAGCATGGCATCTCTGGCAATTAGGCAGGCGTGTCATCCGATACAGTTCTTGGATCTACCCTTTCCACGCGGTGAAAAAGGTGAGTGAACCACCTAGTCTATGAGGATTCGCTAACTCTTATAGGAGTGAGTCAGCTTGACAGCATGAGGTGTAAAGCTATCCAAGAGTTACTGGCCGGCACCCACAAGCTCATCCAAGATCTATACGAAAGCAAAGTGGGATGCAATGATGCATGTTCGGCAATGATGTTGGGGTTCTTACAGCGAGGCTTGTGGGAGACAAAATTGCTGAGTCGCATCGAGAAACATGACCAACATCCCTTCGAAGGACTTTCATTCCATGTGCTCTATCAGAAGTTGAGCGGGATCAGCAACGTCGTTTATGCTCAGAGTTACGGCGTGCGGGCCGGTATGCAAGCCGATCTGCGAGCCGGTTGTCATGAAATTCGCACCCATCTTCTTGCAATCTGCGAAGACGCCGAAGCTCACTTGGAGTTGGACTTTGGGACGTTTTGATCAGAGCATTACGAGCTGTTAGCTCAGCATCCTGACCCACTTTCTTTGGAGGACCGGGTATCATTTCCCATACAGCATGATTAGTGCCAATGGGGCAATCCACAAGTATAAGGGCGAAGGAAGGTACTGTGTCTTATCTGGATGGTTGACTAGCATGATCGTGCGGTATGCGTCGTTAATATCCATGATGGAAGAGGTGCGGATGAGGCTTAGGGCGGGGTGGTGGTGAAATGAGGATGGTGGCTGGTATGATGGTTGATTAGTCAAGGATACAAGCGGGATGAAGAGGGTATTTGTACCGAGGGCCTGGTCGGAGAATGAAGTGCACTGAGCTTCACTAAGTCTAGAACATGAGAAGCAGCGACATGGAAAAGCTTAGGCCTTGCTGGCTATCCGGACGTAATTTCATCCACTACCAAATCCGTGAACGTTTGTGCTTCGATAGAAGAAGTGCGCGCACAACTTCCAACCCCATCTATACCCCCAACTTCCAGTCTCTACTTCTTCGCATCCATAACAACGAAAACCCAACGTCTTCATTCCGGTCTACCGGCCGTGACAGTTATCTACTCAAATGCCCCCCTAACACAAATGAGAGAGATCGCCATCCTCAGAGTCTGATCCCCTAAAAGGTGGTGCCATGATCCACGCCGATGCGTGTGGATGATCTTGATACCATTTCTCTACCCGTTCTGGATTCTTCCACTGATAGAACCCTGGAGGAACCCGGATGGACGGAAGTGATATTGTATAGGTTGGAGGAACCGGGGTGGACGCAGCTGTTAGTGTAATGTCAGTACTCTGGGAAGATCAATACAGTGTTTCCGATGCTGTTTCAGTCCGTGCTCCCGGCTAGGAGCAGAGCTTCTAACTCACTACCTTCTGGCGCAAGTTTGAAGGGACCGACTGGGACCACTCCGTTGAAAGTGCTGTTGTGAGTACCGTTCTGGGTACCGTTCTGAGTACCGTTCTGAGTGCCGTGCTCAGTGCCGTTCGACTTCCCAGCTTCGAGCTTAGTTTCCGCGATCCAGGCTTCAACGTCGTTGAGAGCTTTGAGTGGGTCGCCGCGGCAGCCTTGGAGGTAGTTTTGCACTTGCGCTGGGGAAACTATATTCCTATTAGTACGAAATTTGGAACTGAAATGCCATGACCACTTACATGTATTTGTGGGCATCTTCTCAGCAAACTCAGATGCCCACTCCTCGATCTGCGCCATAGTGAACTCCGCATCATGAGCGAGAGCTGATCGACCAATCAAGCGCTTGAAGATGCTCTTGCCCGCACTAGGGTCCATATTGCCGAAGTAGACCTTCTTGTCGATACGACCGGGACGCGTCAAAGCCGCATCAAGCGTATCGGGAGCGTTGGAGGTCATGATCAAGAGTCTTCCTTCTTGAGAGGCGTTTCCGTCGATGGCGTTCAGCAGGCCGCTTAGTGTAACTGTGTTCGATCTACGACCCACACCCGGGTAATCACGAGCCCGAAGTTTTGGCAGCGGACCGATGCCACCTGGGATACCAGCGACGTCACCTGAAGTCTCATCCGCTTGCGCATGTGCTCCTGTTGGGGCAGCCGGCGGTGTTCGTTCGCGACCGATACCAGCAGAGTCGATGTCTTCCAGAACCACTACGCACTTGCGTGGAAGGCCTAGGAATAAGCGGTGAAGTGTTCCATCATTGATGCTCCCAGTGGAAAGGTTGATGTGGTAGATGTCGCAGCCAAGATGACCCGCCAATGCAGCGCTGAACGAGCTCTTGCCAGTACCCGGGGGGCCATGGAAGAGATATCCGCGCCGATATGGGATACCACAGTCGGCAAAGAATGACCGCGACTCCTCGCTGTAGTAGTATTCTGCGTCTCTGACAATATCAAATTTGGTAGTCTCGTCCATGTCTATAGTGTCGAGCTTTCGGATGGCTTTGGAGACCGACTGCCAACCGTTACCGTATGGATCTGTACGATCTCCCGCGAAGTATACCGTTGTGGTACCAGTGAGGTTGTTGAGTCGGAACTCGCGACAGAGACTGGTGAACTGCTTGAGTGGTTTGAGGCTCCATCCGAGCGTCATGATAGTGAGGGAGTTTTGGAGCTGGCCACTATCATCGAGCAGGTTACCAGTCATACCACTGTTGGTCCGATAGCCAGGGCCACCTCGACGTGAGAATAGATAGGGTCGAAATCCGACCCAAAATAGTCGTGTACCGATTGGAGGGAGACAAAGAACCTCATCGTCCGGTTTCTCGGATGCAAGTCTCGGGTTATGCGCCGCCATCATGCGGCGATGAAACTCGTCATTGGGATCCTGTGTGCCTCCTGTGACCAGCATGGCACTCCTCGTGTGGCTGTTGAGTATCACCTCGGAGCCCATCCACGCCAGAACCTCTCTAGCGACCGGATCGGTCTCTGGGATGGTGACTTGAACAGTAAAGGCCCATGTAAAGAAATCCTTCAGATGCTTGTATGCGGGACGAACAGCTTGGTAGAGACCGATGAGTGCGAGGAGCTTTTCAAGATCGCCGATGCCGCTTGGCCGGAGTCGATATAGTAGACGCTGGATAACCTCTAAGATGGGGAACTGACCTGTCGCAGAGCGTTTGAGGTGATGCGGGATGAGTCCGGGTGTGTCCAGGCGCTCGGGCCATAGCTGGTCACTCATTCCTGGTGGAACCATGAGCTCGTGGCGTGGGTCAGACATTGCGGCGGGCGGTTGAGGGCGATATTCCCATGTAAAGTTGCGTGGGCGAGCTATGACCGCGGTTTCTAGACGCGTGGAGATGTTTGAGAAAGATGAAGGAAGTAATAATCTCCAAGTTTTGGAGATTGCCGTGTATGTGCTACGCGCCGTGGGTAGGCATTGTTAGACAACCGTGGGTGAGTTGAAATTATGATGGAGTGTCGAGAAAGAGTGAAAGCAATGCGATGATGCGCGGAAGAAGCACGTCGAATAAACAGTGGCGCGGTCATGGAAGCGACTGCCTGGACGTTGGAGGTCGAGGCTGAACGGGCTGAACGGCAAGTTTGCGCGAGACCGTATGAGGCAAGAGAGGCTGTGGCATGAGCGCGTTGGAGCTAAGCCTAATTGGGCCAGGTGGGCTGTTTACAGCTGTACGTCATAGCTAATTATTCTAACAGAACTTCTAGGCTTTTTGCACGAACGTCTTACTCTCGTCTTTGAACTTTGCAATTACCAGAATCACTCAGGATAACTCCATTCGAAAAGAGTTTCACATCCCAGTACCATACAAAACAGACAGCTTCGCTTCACCATGCCTCCCAAAGCAAACACTTCCGACCTTCACGTTGCGAAGCTCTTCTCAGTCAAGGACTATGTATGCGTAGTGACTGGAGGCGGCTCTGGTATCGGCCTCATGGCGGCCCAGGCCCTTGCAGCGAACGGCGCAAAAGTACGTTCCTCCTTCTCGCGAAAGAATAATCCTAACATCAGATAGGTCTACATTACTGGTCGTCGGCAAGAAGGTAAGCACGACTACAGCCCCCTCAAATCATTCAAACGGGAAGACTGACCATGTTAGCCCTCGAGACCGCAGCGAAGTCACACAGCCCCGACCAAGGCGGCCAGATCATTCCTCTTTCACCGTGTGACGTAACCAAGAAAGACGACTTGGAGCGCATGTACCAGGAGCTGGCGTCCAAGGAGAAGTATATCAACCTTCTCATTGCCGCAGCCGGCATTTCAGGCGAGAAGGGTATTCCCGATGCAGACAACGCGACCGACATGAAGAAGAAGCTCTTCGACAACGAGACATTCGAGGGCTGGGCCGAGACTTACAACACCGATGTTACCGCCGTTTACTTCACCACCGTCGTTCTCCTACCGCTTCTCCAGGCTGGAACCGAGAGCCATGGCCATCTTTCTGCCTCTGTCATTGTCATCTCGTCCATGTCGGGAATCATGAAGGACGCACAAGGGCACTTCAGCTACAACGCTGCCAAGGTGAGAGACTCATCTCGACATGTGGAGGATCTCGGCTGACAGTATATTCTAGGGCGGCACAGTCCACCTCAGCAAACTCATGTCGGCGGAGTTCCAGCAGCTTCGCATCCGCGTGAACAGCATTGCCCCTGGCTACTTCCCGTCGGAGATGACAGCAAAGGAGAGCGACGAGAACCAGAAGAGCGACCTGCCGGATGAGAAGATCCAAGAGAAGGGCCACGTCCCACACGGTCGGGCGGGAAGCGACGCGGAGATGGCACAGGCCGTCATCTTCCTCACCAAGAACTCCTATGTCAACGGCCAGATTCTGACGGTGGATGGCGGTGTGCTCAACGTTGTGAGCTCTTAAGTTTGGTGGCGAAGATGTGAGGGAAATGATGAAGTAGTCTGATGAGAAATCATACCAACTGTTAGGCGTCTCAACTTGACTCGTGCATCGGCACTTCCTCTTTGGTCGGGTTTCCACAAGGCTGACCGAAGCCGTTTCCCCACATTCCCCGCGACAGCGATAAACCATGCTAATAATGTCTAATTGCGATAGTAAGCCTAATGTCACGCTGCGAAAGACGTTAGAGCATGCCTATAGGCTTATTAATTACTAGTCTACTTAATCTACT